GAATTAAGCTGCTCGTATCATGTCACCCACTTTTCTCCCTTGTGAGTTGAATGCGCCTCCATTGCCGTGTGCGCGTTTTAAAGGTTATTTACGGGCGCACCTGACCTGACAAGGGGACCGGATCTCTGGACTATAGAACTAGCTTTAATCTCACCATTTTCATAATTCAATTGCTATGTCATATATTTTAAAATATTTAAATGTGTGTTCTGAAGGTTGGAACGACGGGAGTGTTAATAATTAATGACAGAAAGAATTTTCAGTTTGAGCGAACAATCCCTTATGAAAACTGGGGGGGCACAAACTCTTTCTGAGGGGGCAATGCCACCCTTTGCCCCCCCGTAGCGCCAGGCCTGGGCGGGACCGAGGGTGTGCTGCATCGCGGGGGCACTTTTGATCATTTTGGAAGGGCACTTTCTATCCAAGACTAAAAAGGGCATGTGCACTGCACAGGTTGAGCCCTATGTGTGCACGTGCCTGTCTCGGAGTATTTAGTGCACTTAGTTAGGATATGCAGCTCCGTCTCAATCAGCTGCTGAGGGCACAGTCGCTTCCCCACCGGCAGCCATGTCCGCTGCCCTCTTCTAACATGTTAGAAAATACTGCAAATCAAGCTGTCGGTATCTCCCCGCGGTGGAAATTGTTCGTTATTCGAAAAAAAAAAAGAATAAATATCAGTGCGCAAGCTTTCTAGATTTATTTTAGGCCTATATTCAGCTGTTTTAATCTTGCAATTCTGATAACTTTTAGAGATAATGTCTGTTTTTATCAACTTGTCTGTCATTTATTTCTTATTTGCAACTTATTTTATTAATTTGTTGATGTTAATATACTACATATAGTCTTGTATATGCATCTAAAATCCTTTGGCATTCAAATTTGCTTTTAACTTGAAAGAGAGAAAGAATCTGATTTTACCTGTCAGAGCACATAGCATATGCCTTTTTTTAATAACATTTATTTAACAAATATTTTAGCACATCGAAAGTAATTAAATTACCTGTCTTTTGATTAAAACCTTTATGCAAAAAGATCAGAAAAAAGGCAATATATGCGACATGACATCGCTCTCATGCCACGATTTGAGGATAAATTCGCTTTTAGGCGCTGCTTTGAATAAAATAAAACTATTAAAAAGCACATTAAAAACACTCATAAAGTAAAACATTAATAAAGGAGTATCTTATGAAAAAACACCAATTGACGGGCTCTGCTTTCGGTTTTAAAAGAATCAAGCAGCTTTAAAAATATAATTTGCTGAAGAGAAATGACAGGGAAAAAAAGATTAAACATATTGGCACTGTAAAAAGAACATTCCTCTTTGATATATTCTTTCGACTCCGACACATCAGCTAAGATTATGAACGACGGAGTGTCTCTCCTGCTTCAGTAGCGTGTCCCGCTGGTTATAAAGGAGGAGGCGGAGAGAATGCGCTGCTTAGTTTCGGCTCGATATATTTAATTAAAAACTAACACCGAGCTGCTTATAACGCTCAAAAAAGTTAAACTAAAATGCACAACTCTTGTTGGTTGCACCTGCAGGATGCACAATGAACCTAACGCGCCATTATTTTAATTCTATATTCGTGAAGAATGAGCCAACCGCATATGCTAAGTCAGTCCAGTTGGTCGGGACTCTCTGCTTTATAACTTATTAGTTTATTACAATAATCACACTTAGCTTTGCCATCGTTCTTCACCACATATAGCCACTCAACACATCTTGCGGTCCATCTTTAATGTTTAGATTATTGAAGGTGCTATTTATGTTTTGAGAAAAAAAAATAATAGTACTGAAACTAAATTATTAAAAATAAACTTGCGGGACTTCGTTTATGTCCTGCGGCAACATTATTTTTATTACACTTTAAGTGATCTGCTTGAGGTAGGTCACGTTTATCAATGGTAAGTTTTAGCCTAAGTTTACATCAATAACATAATGTGCATTGTCCTTTACCATACAAAAAAAGTAAAAAAAAAAAAAAAACATTTATTTATATAGCATTTATTTTTAAATGCATTAAAAAACAAGCGCATATCTTAGCCTTGAGTTTGTTCACACTCTGCCTGTATTAACATAAATGCTGTATTTTAATATAGCTAATTTTGATTAGCTTTAACTGACAGCCTTTTCTTCTTTTCCGTGGTTATGCGGCATTATATTTCACACGCATATGCAAGGTGACTGAATATGAAATTAAAATACAAAACTTACTGAGCCATTAAGTAAAAAAACAAAACAAAACAGTTATACTTTAAAGCAGAACACTGACGTTTTGAAACAAAAAAACGGAACTGAAACTAAATTATTAAAAATAAACCTGCCAGACTTAATTTATGTCCTATTTTCATTTTTTTTTTTTTATTTTCATTATTCGTTTATTATTATGTACTATAATTGAAACATAAAATGAGCTAGTAAAATATAATCAACAACGAAAATGTAAATAAAAACGTAAATTAAAAACATAAATGAAAATATCTTGTCTTAGTCCTATCAAAATAGCAAACTACATCTCTCTATATTTAGACTAAAAGACTGCTTTATTTATTTATTTATTTAAGACTACTTATTTGTACTGAATGTTTATGCTTTCACTTTAGTTGTCTTTCATTTATTCAATTCTATTTTCCAAAACGAATCCTCTTTGCACTTAAAAAGTTTACAATAAACCAGGTAAACAAATTTTAAATGTAAGTTGAGGTGATCGCAAGCTCACAACTGTGAGGTGATGTGCTCTACCGGCAGGATAATCTATATTATTTTGCTGTTTTTTATATGCGCACGTTTAAGATTTGAGATAATAACATTGCCATGATAGTCAAAGAAATCAAAACATTATTTTCACCACAACGCAATTTAATCGGGCACTGAAGGCTAATAACTTAATTCTTATATTTGCTTTTTGACTTCTCACTATGTATCTTTTCTACAGCATAGTATAGTGTAAGAGCATGTCTATTACCAGAAAAACTAAATTAAAATTATATATTTTAATTGAACACATCACATCACATACAGTAAGCTACGCCTACAGAACAGTCTGTTTAGCATTGTGAAAAGGCAAAGCTGAATATCTGTGGTTAAAGTGCCACTCAGCGGTCAAATGCTGCTGGCGCATCAAGTACCGCCGTCGCCGCGGTATGAATGGCGGCACAAGGAACACATTGAAGTAGTAACATCTGTATATGTCAATAGTCGCTTTTCTAAGAACAGTTCGGTACGGTTACGGTTGTTTCTCCACTGAGCCTGGAAAGGCGCAGCACGATTATAAACCTTTCTCCGCCCTGAATTGTGCTTGAATGTGAGTTATATGCTATAAAAAGTCTGACTGTTACTTTATGAAAAATACATTTTTTGGTTTACATCAAACAAAAATGAAGAAATGCAGAAAGAAATATTTATTTTGCATTATTGTTTTTATATGCATGTCAACTTAATAAATACATTTTCTGCTACAAAACAAACTATATATTGTAATAAATCATTCAATTTAAGGCTGAAAGCTGCAGAGCAGTCATCAATAACTAAAAGGCAAAATAATATACATCTCAAGAAAAAATGGACAAATGGAAGAAAAGTCTCACTTCTATCACTCTTTAAAAGTTTTGGTTTGGGTTTGTGTCATTTTAAATGCTCAGTCTAGTTATGCGCTGATTTACAGTTTTCAGTGTTTGTGGGAATAAAGCAGGCGAGTCAGCCGACCAGAGCAGAGCAGTATTCTCACAACCACTGGCGCAATACTGCTCTTTCTTATGAACCGCAAATTCAGTTCAAACTTAGTAAAGGCGAGCTTCTTAGGCAATGATGTGTGCAGTGCTAGATTTTACATTTATAGGGGACATTTGCACTGAACACGCAGTGAATAATGCATAGAGTTTCAGGCACCTACTCAGTTGGCGGATCAACATTTAACACATAATCGCTGTAATCAGTACTTTACACTCTTTAACCGTTTGCATTCCCCCCATTCCCCACACAAGCTCCCCGTCATCTGGCAGCAGAAAGCTTTCAGTGATTGACAGCTGATATGAACTAATATAGCGCCAATATAATCGTCTTCTTGCAGACGTGCCTTTAAGCCTTGTGGCTGTTGCCAACTACAGGCATAGGCCAGTCTTTAAATCTTGCGTCCTCCAGCCTGAGGTCCGAAAACATGCATTTCCCGATGTTTTAATTTAATTACTGAATCAAAGGTGAGCTCGCCTATAGTTGGCTGCAAGCCAGCTGGGTAGCCGTTGGTTTGTTTCAGTGCGGGCGGAACTCCACCTCACATGAGAGCACTCAGGTCCTACTCTCAATATATAAATAAATCCAAGCAAAATTTAGAATAAAGGCCTACACAAATTGAAAATTTATCTAAAAAACTGGTCTCGAAAATTTAATACCTTGTCAGATGACGTTTATTACTTTTGAATACTTTTAAATGGCCTTAATTTTGGTAAATTTTATTTACTACCTTTTACAACCCCGCGGACACCCTGAAATATTTTTTTTTTGAGTGTGCCAGTCATGTTGACAGGAAGACACTTTTATTAATTTATACTACTTTTAATCAAGTTGACAGCATTTTAGCCCATGTTTGTTTAGAAGTTTGTTACCTCCAGTTTTGTTCTTTTATTAGTTTATTACAAGTTGACATGTAAAAGAGGCACAGTTTAATTTTATTTATTTATTTGCCATAGCTAAAAAAAAAAAAAAAAAAACTTGTCTGAAAGGCCTATAGTCCTATAGTTAAGTATTTTGGTTCTTCTGGGACAAAAGCAATTGAATGAATGCATAAGTTTTAAATCAAAGTGAAACCATAAACAAAAAGACTGGCCGCTGTCATCTTCACAATACAAGAGCAGCTGTTCATAGGTTATTTTTGGTCAAAGATGCAAGAATTTTAGTGTGAAGGTGCTTTTCCAGAAAAAAAAAAAAGAATGTCGTTATGAATATTAACTAGTATTAATGCACTAAAGGAGCAATTTTAATCATCCAAATAGAACAGACAAACCTATAAAGATGTTGTTGTCATACTGTCTCCTGAACAATGGCAGTAGGTCCGGAGCCAAAGAGATGACAGGAACTTCACCAGAGATCTCTGCCTCAGGAAGAACAAACTGCAGGAAATGAAATCAAGCATACATCACACAAAATTAAAAAAAAATTGCTTAAATTATATAAATCATTAACACTGTTCAGTTCGGTATCATACTTCAGGAAGTTGTTGTGGGATTCTGATCTGACTGTGAGGTCTGTCATCAATCTGGAATCTCATCGGCTCGATCAGTCCACTCCTGTGTCCCCTTGGGATAGTTCTCTCTCCCTGGAGCCAGTAATAGTTAATCTGGGGGTCATAATCTTTAGAAAATAAAAACAAAATTAAAATACGACACACAAGGAGTACTACATACACTTTCAAGTGAGAAAATACTACTATGTACCAATTTTCATTACCTTGTGGAGAGCATTTCTGTGAATTTTGTAAAAAAAATATGCATCAATTCATCTTAACTTCATATGAATTAGTCCTAATTTCTGAATGTTTTTATGTATAATTCATTTCTTTTATTTTTCATTTAAATTTATAAATGGTATTTATACTACTTATTATATGGCTGAATACATCACAAAACTGGAAGAGATTCTGGAAGCTGTCCTTTGTAAAAATGTCTTTTACAACATAACATAATTAAAAAGAAACTGTAACCACTTCTCTTTGTGCCATGTCATGTTTCACAGAACAAGCTCTGTCAAATTAGCATTTGGACAGCATTTTACCTTACTCTTTCACTGACATTAGTGGCATGCGTTACTTACATTACTGACATTTAGGCCTACTGACATTAATGGCATGTGTCACTCACTGACAAGAATGGCATTTAGTCCCACTGACATTAGTGGCATGCTCTGATATTAGTTGCATGTGTCACTCACTGACATTAATAGCATTTAGGTTTACTGAGATTAGTGGTATGCACTGACATTAGTGGCATGTGTCACTTACTGACATTTATGGCATTTAGGTCTACTGACATTAGTGGCATGCACTGACATTAATGGCATGACATTAGTGGCATGTAGCATCATCACTTGGGTTGGGTACCTTGGTAACCGGTATGTACTGGTTTTAAATCAGTGTATGAATTTCGGTGCCTAATTTCGGTGCTGTGGCAAGGATGTAAGAAGCATCAAAGGGGTGGATGCAAAAAAGGCACACATAGGCGTTGTGTCACACCATCACTAAACATTTAATTCTAAACAACTTTGAGAAATACGGACAGGCGATATCACGCATTTGTTATTGTCACTAGGGAACAGACGCACGTAATGTAGTACAGCGCATTCAGCCTGGTTTTCGGTGAGCGAGAGCGACACTCTTCAGATCTACACGCGTGATCACGTTCATCTAATTTGCTTAAACTAATGCCTAGTTCAGACTGCGTGATTTTAGCCCTGATTTTGGCTCGCCGACAGGTTTTGAGAAATTACCGAAAAATGCCTGAAATCACAGGCAAATCGCTGCTCGTTCATGTGAGTGACAATCACACAGTATGAACTATCAAAGACGCGATCTGAGAGAATCGCCAATGAGTCGCCGATGCCTGTGAGATAGGGATGCTTATTTCGGTTAATTTTGCTAACCGACAACCGCCGCTCATTAATCGGTTATTAACGGTTAACTGGTCAGATTACTTTTCATTTTATATTAAACAAATTGGCATGTCTATTTTGTGTCTGACACATTAAATATTGCATAAAATACTGATTTATTTTTATATGCTAGCATATTAATAATAGAACAATACAACAGAGCATTTTCACGCACCTGCAGCGTTTATCACAGAAGAACAGAATAATCTAAATAAAATGAATAAAATAAATAGGACTGCCCTAAATTATTTTCCACTTAAATAATTAATTTATATTACAAATCGAAAACACTGACTGATTATTTGTAATAACCGGCATAGGCTGTTTTTTTTCCAATCATATTTTGTCTTCCGTCAAATAAAATAGCAGACTTCTTCAAATCGCTCGCTCCACGGAAAATATGAATTTTTTTAATGCTCCGCTTGTATTATTATAGTCACAAAACCTTTTTACATTTTTAAAAGAAATCATTATTTTAAAGATTATGTCTTGACGTGGTTTCCCTTCTCTCCATCGCGGCTCAAGTGCGCGCGCTGCGTGATGAAAAGATAACAACACGCGCGCATATGTTGACTTCTTGTAAACAGTTTTGTTGTTTAAATATGATATTGCATTAATGTGCATACATGCTTTATAAGCTGTAAAATAAAAGGTAAAGCCTATTTGTTGCGTTTATGAGGCAGATCCAGGTCAACATTAGCGCTTTTTTTACATCAACACGTCTGTTTCAAGCAATATTCTTCTTCCATTTTGCTTTTTTGGCAAATGTGTCTGTAGGCACGGGTTATACGTTAACGTCCCGCAAGTTAAGTATGTCTTGCAGTTGAACAAGTGGCCGACCATAGCTAAAGTGCTTTTTTCATTCCAAAAACGCGAGGCGCACCTGCCTTTATATGTTGACAAGGAAAAAAGAAGAGAAGAGGCGCAGTCCTCTTATGAAACGACTGAATCAGCTGGGTATCGATTGTGCAAAAGTGTTGCTGTATATGTTGATAAAATTGTAATATTTAATAATATTATGATATTCAAGATTTGTACATTCATACAGCTCTGGATAACTTAAAACAGCAATTAGACCTTCAGAGCAGCAATAATGCGTCCTGAAGTAAAGCGAAACGGCTATAAACTCCAGCATGATAGAGTGATTATATGCTGAGTATCTATATTATTTATTTATTAGATGTATCAATAAATAAAGTATAACTATAGAAACTGTGTTCATCTTAACTGAAAGCTTCTGCGTGTTTGCTGACCTCACGGATCGCGCACCTGTCAGTCAGTCAGTCAGTCAGCACGTAACCCCAAAGGATTAAACAGATAGCGCACAGCACTATAAGGTTACAGAAAAGTTTGCGCTGTTATAATCCACTTACCTTTTAATACGTTTTGATGCAATTATAATCCGCTATTAAAAACAACAACAACAATAACTGAATGTTTTGAATGGGTATGTAGTCGTGGCGGGATGCATTTTGTTTCCCGCCACGGAAGAATGAATGTAGCGGAAACCAAGCTCTATAAAAGTTCTCTGTAGTTGTCTTGACAACACAAACTGCTGCTCTGGGATGAGCCGCGTGCAAAAGATGCCCCTCTTAACGCAAAGGCGCATTTAATCGGCCCCTTATGCAGCCAAACTAAAAATATATAAAATAATAATTTTAATCGTTTAACTGATAGCATTAATCGGTGACAAATGCACCCTTTCGGTGTACGGTTAATCGATTATTTTGAGCATCCCTACTGTGAGATATTTGCCGTGCTATATGTCTGGAGCTGTCGGCGATTAAAATCATGCCGTGTGAATTGAGTTTTGACTGAAAATAACATCAGACATCGCCTACAGCCAATGAGAGAGCAGCTTTCACTTGTGTGTGCGTGTGTGTATACCTGCTGCAGGCCACCGGGAGGCTGGGGGAGAAGTTAAAAGCGCTCTTTTTCGGTTTATTTGGACCCACGAAATGGAGGAAAAACTAGTGGAGGTTTGACAGGACTCAGGAACAACTGTGTCTGTTTGACGTTTCATACAGAAAGAAATTAGTTTATTATCAACGTTGAGGAGAAATGGCTAATTCCCTTTAAAGGTGAGCAAACATGTACATGTTCTACCCCATTAAAGGCTTCTTTCTCATTATGTAGTTAATAAAAAAAGATATACTACAAGTTTTTGGCTGTGAGACGTAGTTTGGACGAAGTTGTCGGCGATTCTTCCTATAGTAAAGTCATGCAATGTTTCTGAACTGCTCTACGTCCACACCAAAACGCTGAAAACCCACATCACGTGACAACACACACTCTCGGGCAAGCGCTGCAGCATTTCTACCCAGATGAGAGCTCTGCTAGTCGGACAGCTCATCAAGCATCTCCCGCTGGATCTAATCTCGCTATATTTGCTAAACGTTATATTTCATTCATCTTGTTGTCTTTATCTAACGACATATTCCCTGAATTTGTTCATTGGAATCTATTACTTGTTCAAAGGTAACGTGTTTTGGCTGAGCGCAAAGATAAGTTAATGATTAATCCATGTACATTCTGTATATTGACTGATCGCTTGCCTTTATTTCCTACAATGTATAAACTTATTGTATGTTATACTTTTATAATGGCCATTGTCACTTATTAAAACTGATATTCAGCAAAAGAGAGGGTGTGTTTCGTATTTTCACTGAAATTGAAAGGAGGCAGTTGCTATTGGCTCCGTTTTGTTATAAATATCCACACAGTGAAGATGACGCTCATATTATGCAGCACGACGCCTCAACATTTCTGCTGTCTGTTAAGTTGCTAATATTAAAATGAAAAAAGCAGTTCCTTAAATCATGTTTACCCTTTATTTTTGAGAAAGTGAAACAACGTAGCCAGGGTGATGTGAATGAAGTTATAAAGTACACTGTTCCCTTTGAAGATTTACGCGTGTCCTCAGTAGTCTGTTTTCCATATCAAACTGAAAAGGGGGAGACTGCAGCCTTGATCAAACTTGCGAAGTCTGAACTTACAAGAAGGGGATGCGAGACTGAATTGTGTGTGTGTGGGCTACTTAATATTGAGGAAAAGCCCCAATCAGATAGGCGAACGTCTGCAGCCCCGCCTACATTTTCAGATGTCTCCGTCTTTCCCCATCCACACTGAGACGGAGCAGCAGCATTTTAGAATGAAAACGGCCTCCCCAGCGTTTCCAAAACGCTCCGTTTTCGGCGCTCGAGAACTCCGGCGTAGTGTGGACGGATGGCGTAACCGTAGCAAAACTTATGCGTTTTAAAACGAAAACGCATTAGTGTAAACGGGGCCTCAGATGCGCAGCTTCACACACGAAAAGATACTTTTTGGTTACATTTGCCAACACGGGGAACATGTTTGGTTGTCTGTTGTTGTCCTACAGACTTCAATTTCTTAATGTGTTGATTAGCCTAATGCATTATATATTAATAGCTTAGTCCTTATGAACAATACATTTATAAAAATACATTATTAACGAATATATAGGCTGTTGAAGAATAAACCGAATATGAAATATGATCCTTGCATAATGATCACAACTAAACAAGCTAGCACTCATTTTATATATGAACTATAAATAAAAAAAGAAAGAAATGTTAAGAAATTAAACATTATGTAAAAAATCTAAAGACTACAGGCTAAATAATAGCGCCTCGTCAGAGCCAAACCGCATCACCGCAGTTTACAGCTTCTGTAAAGATCAGACAGCC